GCCGTTGAGTCATTTGCTTGCTCAAGATGTGCCATATGTTTTTGATGAAGCTTGTTTGAAGGCTTTTAATGAATTAAAGAGCAAGCTTGTGAGTGGCCCTATTGTTATTGCCCCTGATTGGTCGATTCCTTTTGAAATCATGTGTGATGCATCTAATCTTGCAGTGGGCGCCGTTTTAGGTCAACGAGTCGATAAGTTGCTTCGAGTGATTTATTATGCTAGCTTGACTCTTAATGGGGCCCAACAGAATTATACTACCACCGAGAAGGAACTTCTAGCCGTGGTCTTTTCTCTTGAAAAATTTAGATCCTATATTTTGGGTTCTAAGGTGACTATTCACTCTGACCATGCGTCTTTGAAGTACCTTTTGAGCAAAGTTCATTCTAAGCCACGGCTCATCCGGTGGATCTTGTTGTTGCAAGAGTTTGATGTTGATATTAAAGATATGAAAGGTTCTGAGAATGTAGTTGCTGATCACTTGTCACGCATAGTACCATCTGACTCATCATCTTCATTGATTGTGCATCATTCAATTATTGATAATTTTCCTTATGAGCATGCGCATGAAGTGTCAAAAAGTGTTTGGTATGCTGACATTGTGAATTACTTGTGTTGTGGTAAACTGCAGCCTGATCTCTATTCCCAAGAGAGAAAGCGTTTTCTTTCTGTGTGTAGGGATTACTTCTGGGACGAGCCATTCCTTTTCAAGATGGGAAAGAACAAGGTGCTTAGGAGATGTATTCCAAAAGAGGAGCAAACTGATGTCCTCACATTTTGCCATGAGTTCCATTGTGGAGGCCACTTTGGCGGTCAGAAAACCGCCTTTAAGGTACTACAATCCGGTTTGTTTTGGCCATCACTTTTCAAAGATGCTCATACTTTTTGTCGCTCTTGTGATCGATGCCAAAGAACTGGAAATATAGGTCGCAGAAATGAGATGCCCTTGACTAATAACCTTCAAGTCGAAATTTTTTGTGTTTGGGGCATTGATTTTATGGGACCATTTCCTAAGTCTAATAGCTACGAGTACATTTTACTTGCCGTAGATTACGTGTCTAAGTGGTTTGAAGCACTTTTGCAACAAGCTTTACATTTTACTGATGAAGAAGTATTGTATATCACATAAAGTGGCTACTCCTATCACCCACAAACCTCGGGCCAGGCAGAGACAAGCAATAAGCAGATAAAGACCATCTTAGAGAAGACGGTCAACTCATCAAAGAAGGATTGGTCGAGCCGGCTTGATGATGCGTTGTGGGCTCAATGAACAACATACAAAGGCGTCTTGGGCATGAGTCCATTCAGACTAGTCTATGGGAAGGCTTGCCATCTACTGGTGGAAATTGAGCATAAGGCTTTGTGGGCGATTAAGAAGGCTAACTTTGAACTGGATGCCGCCGGCAAGGCTAGATTGTTGCAGCTTTCGGAGTTGGAAGAAAGGAGGAATGAGGCATATGAGAATGCCAAAATCTACAAAGACAAGATGAAGAGACTCCATGATGCTCACATTGTTTGAAAGGAGCTGGTACCGGGCATGCAAGTCCTTCTCTACAACTCTCGACTTCGTCTATTTCCGGGAAAACTCAAGTCCCGGTGGAGTGGCCCATATATTATTGATGACTGCTGACTTTTGGAGCCGTCAGACTCCAGAATCAAGCCAATGGCAAGCTATTTACGATTAACGGGCAACGAGTGAAGCCTTACTTCGAAGGAGAGTTCGGGAAGTGTCATGTCGAGACAGTCAGTCTCGGCGACCCAACTTATGCGTGATCGTGGAAGTGTGCCGTGCTCCCGACAATAAACCGAGTATCCTTTGTATTGATGTATATTTCATTTTATTTTATTCTATATATATATTTCTATTAGTATTTATATATATATTAAAAAAAAAAAACAAAACAAAACAAAAAAAAAAATAATTTGTCGCCGCGGGCCGCGGGGCTTTTCTTAGCCGCGGCCGCGGCGACTATTATTCCCCGCGGCCCGCGGCGACTATTATTTTGGGTCCCAGATATCAACTTCTGCAGGAAAAATTTCGCGGCCTCGGAGTATCCTCGCGGCCACGGAGGCGGGTCGCGACCGCGAAACATTTCTTCGCCGCGATCGCGACGATGTTTAGATCCCAAGGTCCCATGTCCAGCTTAAAAAATCCCGCGGCCGCGGGGGAAGTCGCGGCCGCGGCGAAAAAAAACTCGCGACCCACAGGAATTCGCGGGCCGCGGAAGACGCGATTAAAAGCCCCTTTTCTGCAGATTCTCGGGCATTCCTTCACCTTTCTACATCTTGAGACCGGTTTTACCAAATTTCACCCTCGAACATAAATCTCTCATGAATCCTTGAATCATTTCCAAAAGTTGTCATCATAATCAAAGGCTCTTCCTTCCGTGATTTTTGCAAGAAATTTTACCGGCTAGTTCGAGTTTGAGTTCGGGAACCCTAGTCCACCTCACAGTCCCGAGTTTATCACCGTCGCCGTCGTCTCTCCTGCGAGTTTCTCCTGCGTCCATCCCCTCCGGCCACTAGCAACAAACCGGCAACACCTCACCTCGTCACCTCTTCGTCTTCAACTTCAACACCTTCTCACGGGCATTAGGGACTTCCAGTAACCGAGATTATTGATTTTGTTTTGTTCAAAGTATAGTGTTGGGGGTTGTTGATGTGAATTGAGATTGAAGAGGATCATATTTTGGTTCCACCATTGTTCATTGTTTCATAGCTTCAACTTCAAACTTGTGCACTCAAGGTATTCGACATATTGCCCGAGAGACCGTTCAAATGGGCAAGACTCCGATTCGTCCCACTAAGAAGAACACCACTCAATAACCGGATAAGAAGCGCAAAGCGGGCAAATCCTCCTCTCGAGTTGCCCCTCCGGAAGGTGAATGACGATGACCTTTCGGACCAATACGGTGCTCCGTTCCCGGTTTATTCTAGAAAGGAGGGCGAAATTTATGCCCGTCTCTCGCAAAAAGAGGTAGTGAGACCAAAGGCGGTGGATTGGGACCTCTTGAACGACTTGGGCATTCTGGAGGACGTGATGAAGTACCTCAAGGTCTTAAACTTAACCAAGTATGCCAAAATTAAGGAGATGTCGCATCGAATCCTTATGCTTGAGTTCTTCAGCTCATTCGTTCTCGCCTATGGGAACGAATACTTCACTTGTCAGCTTAAGGGGAAGGATCTCATGGTGGACAATTCCATGATGAAGAAAGTTTGCGGGTTCACCATAGCCGGTACGAGAAGCAAGGCCATCAATTTCAACGCCAAGAGGAGTTGGGCCGAGCTTTCCCCGCATACGACTTGGGATTCCGCCGGCATGTCCAATAGGCTTATCCAGGACCTGCCCACTGCCATTGTGCATCGGTTCATCTGCTATAATATTTCCAGAAAAAAAGAGGCGAATAAAGCTAGTGAGGTCGAGCTTTTTCTCCTATGGGCGATGCGGGCAGGAGTGCGAGTGTGTTCTATGACCTTCCTACAGAACCCTTATAAGAGATTGCCCTCACTCGGCGTGGAATACCGGCACTTGGGCATTTTGTTACCGCACTCGCCCGCCACGTCGAAATCACTCCAGAAGCCTACAATTTACATGGAGAGATTGGGCTTCAAGACAGGACTGAGATGCGATGTATCAATTTTAATGAGCTCAAGCAGGCTGACTTTATTAAGGACCGGACAACAACTCAGGAGTATACGAAGCGTAATGCTTACGACACCTATTTTAAAAATCTCCAGCAGAAACAGCCTAACTCCGACCAGGCAGGGTCGTCTCGGCCACCGACGGCGGAAGACGAGCATGCGCAGATGAACGACGATGATGCCCATTTCCTTCCGCCTCCATCCACGTGGACACCGGCCCCGAACCCACATCCAGAGATTCCTCCGCAGCAGCCACCGGAATGGTGGACTTCATTTCAGACTCAGTATACAGCCGGCATCCGCTCTATCCACAATCGCTTTGATGCCCAAGACAGCAGATGGGCCGATCTCGAGAGCCGACAGAAAACGCAGTGGACCAGCTGGGAGACCCAGCAGAAGACTCAGTGGACCATTGAGAGACCCAGCAGCAGACCCACTGGACTCAGATGGGCACGCACTTCGATAGCTTCGCTGGCGGTCTCCGGTCCATTCGCGAGTGGCAGGACCAGCAGGATGCTCGGATGGACAGCTGGGATCAGAGATTCACTCAGTGGGACACCCGCTGGAGTTCGGGACCCAGTCAGCCTTACCCGCCACCATCACCTCCGGCTGCACAGTGACTTGTCACTGTGCTTTGTATGTTCTCTTTTTCTCTTTATCTTTTATTTGTGTATAACTTCTTTGTTTTTGCGTTGGTTTATTATATGGTCTAACTCTCCTTCACCGCGACTCGACAATGGGGACATTGTCTGATTTTAAGTGTGGGGGAGTTTTACGTGCTTATGTGACTATGTGGTGGATCAGGTCTAGGTTTTCTTTTAGGATTGTTTTTTATTTTCTTTTCTGTTGCGTGGACCAGTCTAGTTTAGGTTTATTTGTTCTTTTGAGATGGACATTGGTAAATTTCGGGATTGGTTTATGGTTGTTTGATGACGTTGGGAAGATGTGATGATAATCTTGAGTGGCATATTTTGATGTGTGGCTGGGTTGCTTTGATTATCACTCATATATATATACCAGGTGAGATTTGAGTCGTATTCATTTCTTGTGAGATATTGGTCTGAATGTTGATAAATCAGAACTTGCCTTGAGTCTGTTTTGAAATGAGTCGATTGAATTCGTGATAGGTGAACATGATTGAGGCATTCTTTGTTATTTGTGTATCCTTTTTCTTCATTCGAGAATAATTTTCGCTAGTCACCCCTTTGAGCCGTAATTCTTATTTTCGTTGTTGACCCCGTGTTGATGATGTTTGGAAAATGGGTGGTGATGATTGTCGTACTTGTGAATTGTGGTTTCGTTAAAAAAAAAAAAAGGAGAATAATCGAACGGATTATACTCTAAGTGCTCCAACCGCTAAATCAGCGGTCTCGAGTAACGAGTACGGGAAACTGGTCTAGGAGACTCGGGCAGGAAACCCGACGGCTTAACCTAGATAAAATGTCCATAAGGTTCTAAAAAAAAAAAAAAAGTTATAATAATGTGGAAGCATGTTGGCTGTGGTGAAGGTTGGAGAAACCAGTTGAGACCGGAGGAGTTGTTGATATGGTTGAGTGTTTGAGTTGTGATGTTCTATATTCGAGCCATTTGACCTATATTTATCTTACCCGATCCATTAAGCCTACATTACGTCCCTAGAAGTCCTCTTGATTCACCGTCTCATTAATTTGATTGATTTAGAGTAGAGGTTAGACGATAGGCAAGCATATGATTGATTTGACTGACGACCAATTTGAGTGCTCCTGTCTTTTATTTTTGGAAGAAATTGAGTGAGGCATTTAATCATATCTCCATACTCGAGACTTAGTGTTATCAAGTGATTGAGTTCATGGTCAAGGTGTGTTCTCGTGGTCATCGAAATCCTTTTCAACTTAGTTGATCAATTTGAGACTTTTCTTGTTCAAAACCACTGTCCACTCTTGTTTGCTTGTTTTGTATTCTTGTATTTTCTTTTCTTTCTCTTCTCTTTTTGTTCGGGACGAACAAAGGTTTTAGTGTGGGGGAGTTGTTCGTTCTATTTTCGTCATGTTTTTCTTATTTATTTTATGTTTATTTTTTCCCTCCTTAGGTACTTTTCTTTGGTTCTTGGTCCATTTTGAGTCGTTTCGTGCATTTCCCCTGTTTTATTCGTTTTTGGTCTTTTTGTTCGTTTTTCCTGGTTTTTCGTATTTTTCTTGTCGATGGTGATATGCAGGATAGGTAGCGCGGTGCGTAGCCATGCAAGGATTACTATCTAGATGGATGAGTTGGGGTCGAATTGAAAAAGACGGGATTAAATTCCGAGTCCGGATGCGAGAACACGAACCCGAGAACATTTTACTGTGTAGAAAATCCTTCACCGCGGCCCGCGACTGTCTCCTAGCGGCCGCGGCGAACAAAACCAACCGGCGCCGAGTTTTAGTCGTCGCGGCCGCGGAGGAGAGGTCGCGGCCGCGAGGGTCCCAAAGTCCCACTTCTGTCCAGAGAATGCCGCGGCCTCGGGGATGGCCGCGGCTGCGGGCCGCGGAGGTCGCGACGTGCAGAAATTTAAGCACGGATTTCAGATTTGTTTTTCTCATTTTGTTCTTTCTAGGTTTTAGATTTCTCTCGTACTTTGAACTCCAGAACATATATTTCTCTTAGTTTTTGGTAAGAATTCATCTTTGAGAGTGAAAAACTCCAAATTGTTATTTTCGGATTCGTTTTGCACTCGGATTTTGACGTTGAACCTTCGTATTAATTGTAAGCTTCTATTTTCGTTTCATTCATGAATGTCATGGCTTGGTTTGATATGAATGTTTTTGTTGAGATCACTATGAGTAGCTAAATTCTCTAGCTAGGGTTAGGGGATTGTCGTTCCGGTTCGATCTCGTTTACATGCTTGATAATTGCTCAATCTTTTCGAGTTGTGCTTAACATAGGGTTTTAGATGCTTGGTCACCATCTTAATCTAATTAATCGATTTTAAAACCGAAAGGGTAGAAATCGATCGATCTAGGGTCGTTTAGAATAGGCTTGTTCGGTGACGTATTGTCTATGTGCTAATTGACTCGATAATTGTTCGTTTTTGTTTATTCTCTTGTTTCGTGAGATATTGAGAATGAATCTCTAGATGAGTTAGTTTTTCGAGACCTTTAGCCGAGTAATTGATTGCCCGTTAAATGTTTTGAGAACCGGAAGCGATTATCCCCGATACCTTAGCCTTCTCTATTACTATTTAAATTCGTGTTCGGAGTTGTAAGATTTGAATAGCTATGATTAGCTTTATAATTCGTAGTTGATAAATCAAACTAAATCAATCTGATTAGAGTGTTAGGATTATTTTCTCTTTTGTGATTGAATATTCGCGCAATTTAATCTGGCTAACCTTCCTTGCGATACGACCCGGTGTTCGAATCTTTTCATTCTACTCCGGTAAAAAAGAAATTACTACAACAAGATGGTCTAAAGAATGTTTTACTTTATGCTTCTGCAGACTGTTTTGAACTAATTACATGTTTTAGATTTTATTTTTCTATGTTTTGAGTCCGAGTTTGATTTATGTTGATCAAGACTAAGTATTTGAAAGTTTTAATTATGTCTTGATTATTGAGAAGCAAATAATAAGTTTGGGAAGTGATTTCCCCCAAAAAAACCAAGTGTGAGGCTTAGGTTAAATTTTTGTAAAAAAAAGAAAGAATAAGAAAGAGTTTTAAGTAAGTACCCTAAGAAGAGATTTTAAAAGTTAAATTGTTTTCGAAAAGGTTCGAAATTATTATGGAAAAATCATTATTTTCCTAAAGATAAGTAGAGGGTGCTTACAAGCGGCATCGCCCATACCAGACTCGTCCGCCTAGCGACCTAGTAGAGGGTGCTTACAAGCAGCATCGCCCGTACCAGACTCGTCCGCTTAGCGACCTAGGTCGCTAGCCAGCGAGTGCCAATGGACCAGTTTGCCAAGTAACGAGTGTCTCTTAGTAATTGTGCGTTTTTCTAGTGTGTATTTTGAGTGGTAGTATAAATACATTTGTTCTTTTGCATTTGAAAAATCTAGACCTCATTTGGTTAGTTTCCTCTCTAGACTTAAACTTGTGGAGGTTCAAACTCGTAATTTTTCAGTGACTTTTTCTTGCGATGCTTTCTCTTATTAAAGTTTCGATCTTTTTGTGTTTATTAGGCACGAAAATGCATTAGGGAAGTAAGTACCTAGTTTAGGACTTATTATCTCGATTTTGCTTTATTTTTGCTTATTTTCGTTAGCAGGGCTGTCTCCAGAAATTTGGAGGCCCTAGACAAGTTTTTCCTTTTCGAATTTCCCGTTTTGAACTTGCGTGGTAATTAGGCTATTTGCAGATAGAATCATAGAAGAAAAAAACTTAATTAAAAAAGACTATTAAATAAATAAATAAATAATTGAAAAAAAAAATCTTGTTTTTCTAGACTTTGGAATTGATAAATTACCTATGAGTTACAAAGATCTTTAATAATTTACATTCAATCAGTCATTAGAACAACAAGGAGAAGAAAATAAAAATCATATCACTGCAAAGAATGTTTATTCTCACACAATTGTTCTAACCGAACATCAAGAAAACAAATGAAATATTTAGGGCCTCAAATTTTCACACAAAGCATATATTTTTTCATTAGCTCATTCATTAATTAGCTCCTTCATTTGTATAATGGGTCAAACTCATCACAAATACATAGTATTGAAAAAAAAAAAAATGGGGCCTCAAATATAAGGAGAGGCCTTAGACTGCCTCCCCAAGGAGTCGGCCCTGTTCGTAGTAGTAGTGTTTGTTATTAGTTGTGGTGAGGGTATTTTTGTGGGTTGCGCTTGTTGTGATACATTTTAACACACAAGCAGATTCAATTAGGATTGGATCACGACCCACAAGTAGGATGAAATACATCCTTAAAGAAGGCTGGGCCATCCACCTGCAGATAGTTCTTTTCTTGCAACAAGTGTAATCTGAGCCACTTCCTTTTTTCCCCTTTTAACCCAAATTTCATTATAGCCAAAAGATTCCCAAAAAGTTACAGATGAAAGTAATTAATAAATAGAACTAGGAGAAGGAAATATTTATCTGTGAATCTTAGCAGAGAAGACAGTTTTTGGACTTTACAAGTCAGCATCAATTTGGTTACTTGCCTTCTTTGCTTATCTGATGCCTGATTCTTTTTTCTCTTTAGGAATTTTATAATCCCTAGAGAACTAACTGCCCCTTTATCCTGCTACTAGAGTTTTAATCTGAACCCAAAAAAACTTTGTTGGTTCATTTGTTATCCAAAGTAGAACCAAAACTCCAAATGTTCCGGCAAGAACGAGAAACGAACCCTCACTTCCTTCCTCGCCACACTAACAATGACCCCGTCATCGACTTCTCCCGACAACGAACACCGCCACCTCATCGTCCAAGGCCTCCGCCACCTCAGCACCACCACAGCCCTACCTCAATTGCCCCAAGGCCTCCGCCACCTCAGCACCCACCAAAACCACTTTCCCCTACATTCCTGAGGGGCCCCACTTCACGACCCACGAGACCCATGGCCTGGCTAGTGGCCGCATTATGCGCACTCTTCTGGATGATAGTCATAGTCGCTGGTTTAATCATCCTCATAGTCTACCTTGTCTTCCAACCAAAGCTCCCCAGATTCGACCTCTCGGCCGCCACATTGAACTCCGCCTATCTCGACCTCGGATATTTGCTCAATGCCGACATCACATTGCTAGCAAACTTCACCAACCCAAACACCAAAGTCGACGTCGATTTCACCTACATTGTCTTGGATGTTTATTACGAGAAGAATATTATTGTGACGCGTTACGTGAGCCCGTTTTCGGTGAGGAAAAGGGAGTCTCGGTTTGCGGATGTTCACATGGTGGCTAGCCAGGTGAAGCTGTCAACTTTGCTTAGTTTGGAGCTTCAGAGGCAGATGGAGAATGGGAGAGTGAGATTTGAAGTGAAAGGTGTGTTTAGGACGAGGTCGAAGTTGGGAGGAGTTTTTCGGTATTCTTATTGGTTGTACGCGCGTTGTGAGGTGGAGGTGGCGGGCCCGCCGACCGGAGTTTTGATAAGGAAGAGGTGTGTCACCACGAGGTGAAATAATTTAAATGTTGAGAAATGCTATAGGTATATAATATTGTACACAGGGATGTACATAACACTCACATTGAATGAGACCTACCAAAAATTAAAAATTAAGTAGACCCCATTCCATGTGAGTGTTATGTACACCTCTATGTACATTTATTGTTTATTATGTACTTGTAGTATTTTCTTTAAATATTTTATATATGCTACATTTGTTTATTTACAATAATGTTTGTAGGCTTTGAGATGTGTATATGGTGGATCTGGGATTATACGTGTTGTTTGTTTTTAAATTTCGATCAACTCGGAGTACTGAGTTGTGTTGGGTTTTTTTCAAATCCAAGGAGGATTGATTGATTGAGTTGTCTCGGTTCATCCAATTGGAAGAAGCAAATTAAAGAATGATTATATGTCATTAATGTTTTACACAAACGACAAATTATCTGTCTGGAAAATGGTTGAGAAACTAAGTTTAGTACATCAACGGTAGAATGCGCAAATAACTTTGAATAACTCTGCAACGATGATGATGCTGAAAACTATATGTTTGTACTCATTTCTGTCCAATTCCAAAGAATTATGTAAGAAATAAAAAATAAAAAGAATGAAAGAAGGGGCTCGGAAAGTTCCATTTCATTAGCAGTAGAGTATAAAGGGAATGAGGCATAGGTCAAACAGGTTCATGTCGGTCTCCTAAATTTAATTCGTAAAAACTAAAATAATGTTTTAAAAAAACAGAAAACTCTTACGATCGTATCCGACAATTTGCACCAAGTAGGTGCAACTTTGGCACCTAACGTCCACATCATCCCCAACAATTTCACTTCAAGTTTTGCACTAAAACTTCTATAATGCTAAATATAAATATTAATTTAAGTAATCTTCATTAAAATACATTATATGCTTATTTTATGTTGATTATAATTATAACTTATATTATATTAAATAAAATTTGAGTAATAAAATTATCAATCTATATCTATCTATCTATCTATTATATTATTATTATAATATTTATTTATTTATTATTATATTATATTATTATATTATTATTATTAGTATATTATATTATATTATATTACTAATATAAAAGGACGGGTGTTATTGTTAAAAAAAAAAATAAACTACCTAAACTACCGTTACTTTAACATATTTTTAATGGCAAACTAGTAATATACTAATAATCACCTTATCTTCTATATTTAATTAATAACTAATATATAATTAATCAACCATAATATTCTCGCACCATTATTACTCTTCTAACATCAACCCAAACAACAAATGTTAGAAATGTTATATAATTGTTTTGAAAACGTCCTAATTCTTAATATAATTTTAATGGTAAAATCGTAATAACATTTAATAATTCTAATATATAAAAATTCATTAAAGAAAATCGATCTACCAAAGATAGCATAATAAATACTAATAAAGAATCTAAATATTTTCAACTATTTATTTACCTATCTACAATTTTAACAAAATGATAATCTTGGTAAAAAAAAAAAATGACAACTTAGTTGAGGGATAACTTGTATATAATAAATAATTTCAAAGATATATACTTAACTTCAATTAAGAGAACATACCTAAAATGTTATCCAAATCATGCACACGTAACAAACACACATAACCTAACAAACTAAGATAGTGGGACAATTCATTAAACTACTTTATTATTTAAGAAAAATTAACTTGTGCATTTATAATTAGAATTATAAATTGTACAATAGTCTTATTGGATTGATATTTGATCCCACAAAGACCATCATTTATTTGTTTGGTTGTATTTTCCAATTTTGGTCTCAAAGTCAATAAGTTAACGAATCTTCACATGACCATTAGGTGGTTAATATCAAGGTGAGTAATCTTTTCATTAGTAATTCACTAAACTAGTATTCGACTCTGTGCATTTGCACAGATATAAATAAAATTAAATATTATAAGATATATTTATGTATATAATATAAAAATTATAAGTTATATAATTGTATTATATTTCAAACATATAGTATTATAAGTTATATTTATGTATATAATATTAAAATTATAAATTATATAATAGTATTATATTTTAAAATTTTATAGTACACACGATATGATTGTATACGAATCACTATATTGATTGCATAAAATGTAATAAATATATACTTTTTATAATTTTGAGTGATCATGACCAATTAATTAGTTGAAAAATATTACATTTATTATAACAATTGCTTATGTGATTTTAAGAAAAATTTTACTATGACATAAAAAAAATTAATGTATTAATAAACAACCGCTTCATCATCAAAAAAAATATTGATTTTAGTGTAAAATATAATTTTATGTAACTTTCATATATTATTTAGTATAAAATATAATTACTAATTTTAATATTAACTATTATATTATTCAATAAAAATATAATTATTAATCAATTAACATAAAATATAATGATTTTTGTCTTAATAAACCCAAAAAAATGTAATGAAATATTTTTTTATTAATGAGATTAGGTGTATTAATGCCACATAAATAAAATTTATTAGGTTTTCTTTATTAAGTTTTATTAATGATTTGCCACATAGGTAAAATTTATTAGGTTTTATTTATTAGGTAAAATTTATTGCTTAGCTAGCAATTATATATATATAGATAACTTAATCATGAAAAAAAGATAAGACTCTCAATACATGCTGAATATTTATTTGAGAATAGTGGCGTGTTGTAGGGAATTAATTGAGCTGGAAAAGGATTGACCTCTACAAGAATTATCACAACATTTCGACATCTGATAAAATTTGGCCCGAGAATTCTATATAAATTGGAACGACCAAATATATATCTTATAATTAAGACTGAAAATATAAAGCTTAAATTTATCTCGGAAAAATTCTAATAAGTCAAAACATATATAATCTCGAGATACCGAAAAGGCTAAAAAAAAAAGTTGACTCTCGCTAAAAATATTCTAATATCTCGGTTAAACTCTGAATTAAATTTAAATAGACAAAATGTCTACTTAGATTAATTATCTCAAATGATTAAATTAAACACTCATGTCTAATTAATCATGAAACTTGAAATAATCAATACATAATATATATGTATTACTCATCATAACCCCTGCATCACTCTCTCCAATCAAATGCTTTGCTATCAATATATATATATATATATATATATATAGATAGTAGGGAGACAAGAGATTTTCAATGTAATTCTCCTAATAACCCATAAACTAAAAATAAAACTTACGTGTAGATTTAATATGCTAATTCATCAAACCAAATATCACTCTCTAACACATAATCAAACAAGATAATGCCATCAATTAATATGTCTAGCACGAAATGGGTGAAAATGACTCTCAACAATGATATGATGGGAGAGTTGACTACCAATATATATGTATTCTTGTGATAGAAGATTTAGGAATAAAAAAATATATTTATCTCCTTGCCACTAGATAAAAAAAAATCAAATGGCGTGAGAGAAAAATAAGAAAAGAAGGCTTTATCAGCTAATACTTGACTACCATAAATTAATGGATGATTAGAAATCTTGATAAAATTTAAAGACTTGAAGAAAGAATTGGTCATGTGTTTTAAAAATTTTAAACCGACTAAATTTCGGTCCTTCGAAAATATCAATTAATCTTAAATAGACACTAATGTCTATATAAATTAATTATCTCGAAACATTCTTGATTTCGATTAATTCGGCAAATTTGAAATAATAAATTCCAGACTTATAAAGTTCATTTCTAAAAAAAAAAATAGATGGACCGGAATTAATTAGCAAACTGACTCGATTACTGAATAAAATTTAACCGGGAATACTTTTAACTTTAAAGTCAAACTTATAATTGAATAATTTAATAACTGAGCTCGGAACTAGGAACGAGCATTATTAATAAAAGTAAATTAATTCCAACTCGGAACTAAAATAATTACTTTTATTAATAACTGAATGGGATGTTACAGCAGATGTTGTTGAATAAGAATGTTGATATCCGAGTCCGGACCCAGCGTAGGTACCGGTCCGAGCCGAAGGAGCCGGTCACCAAAACTACACATGGGTGCCGAGCTGAATGAGAGTCAAAGTCGTCTGGAACGGTGGGGGGGACAAGTCCCGAGATCGGCACCGCATCCATGTGGCTACGAGATCGGCACCTTGTTCCCCCTCTCGCAAGGACGGCTCCTGATAGAAGTGTGACGTCGGACACCATAAAATAATGCCACTTGTCTACGAATGATTGCCGATGGGACGTCCAACTCAGCCAGAATGTGTCCGCATTTAATGCAGCCCACGTTCGCATTAAATGTATGGCAGGTAATGGTTGGAGAATCCGGAAATCACTCTCAATCAGTCAGAAAAGCGCCGGTTTGTCCCGTTGAGCTACTGTGCGATAAGACCGCTGAACAGTACCCAAACAGTACCGCATTAAAGTCTCCTATAAATAGCAACCCCCTCATTTATTTTGGGGTTGTTGAAATCCCAACTACTCGAGCTCATATTTTCTCTCTCTAAAGAACTTGTAAGAAATTCTTGTAAGCAATATAAGTATATCACAAGTGCCGACCTCGTACGAGAGGCCGACCTCGTGACCCGTTAATAAAACCGTAATTGAACCGTATTTCTTGGCCTTTTCTTCATTTTCTTTCCATCATTTGACTTTTTAACCGTTGACCGGAAACGTCCGTCAACAGTTTGGCGCTAGAAGGAGGGCACCATAAGTTACTTGGTGTCAATTTTTCGATCTTGTGAAGCTACACACATCGCACTCATCTTTTCTCACCTTTTCATTTCCAAAAAGCCACTGAAAATGCCTTCATCCGGACATGACGACTCCACCCAGCAGTCCGGCTCCCAGCCTCATCGCCGCAACGGCGGGGAGTCCTCCCGTCGCGTTCAGCAGGGACCCATCGTCCCCGTACCCCCAGTTCCTACTTTCGCTGCGGCTTTGCAGCACCCCGACGTCCTCAAAGCCCTCGAGGGGGTCTTCGCCAAGGCCCTCGCCAGTCAAGCCGCCGGGGCGAACACTGTGGTGCCCACGGAGAACCCCGGCAACACTTTGCTCCACACTCCTGAAAAGGAGACCGGTGGACAGAGAAACCCAGCAAAATCCAAAACCACGGCTCAATCGCCGAACCGCGAGGCTCAGAACCGTCGCGACAAGAGTACCAGACCGGCTCCCACAGAGCAGACGGGGGAGAGCCGGCCAGAGCGAAGCCTTCCGGTCGTTCGTCGCTCTGTCCACCAACGCTTGGGAGACAAGAGCCACGCCAACCACGATCTCCGGGAGGTGATCAGACGAGGCAAAGCCATCGGCCACGACACTGAGGAGGTCGCGGCCCTCAAACGCAGAGTTGCCGAGTTGGAAGGTCGGCAGCTCACCGGGAGCGAGTTTTCACTCCCAGGCCATCAACAAACCCACACGCGACCGACCCCTCGGGTCGCGGATAACGCCTCACCTCTCTCCCTCGATATCCTACAAGAAGCCGTCCCAAAAGGAATACAAATACCGCAGCTCGGCCTCTATGACGGGAGCTCGGATCCCGATTCCCACCTCGGCCTCTACACCTCCTGGATGGACCTGCACGGCGCCTCCGACGCCCTGCGCTGTCGCATGTTCTCCCTGACGCTGGGGCCCAAGGCACAGAGGTGGTACCATTCCC